AGGAAAAGAGTGGTGAGGCTTTCAATAACATTCAGGGATGAAGATAATGAAGCTAAGTCTGCATTTAGAATGTCTTATATATGTTTCAAATAGAGTGCCACAGTGACGCGTCCTAAAACCCGGAAGTAAGTTAGCATTTTACCACTTCGACAAAAACCAATGCAATTTCTCCATAGGATTTTGGAAAATAGCTCGAAATAAGGTCTGTGGTTGACACAAATTGAAGAGACAGATCACGTTTTGTTCAGCCGGATAATATCCACATGTCTACCCTACTTTTATAATTTTCTAATCATAAATCTAATCAATAGATTTATGATTCGAAAATTATAAAAGGGTTTTGGGACGCGTCACTGTGGCACTCTATTGTTTTTGTCATTTTCTCATCATACATTATCTGTGACCCACATAATAGGATTACCTTTATTGCTTCACACCAAACCCTCCAAGCTGGAGGTTAATTGAGCGGATTTACATTTGGAACCATATTAGTTGTCACCTTTGTTTTTTCTTACCATTTTCTATTGGCTTTTCCTCCCTTCTCTTTATATATGGATCCTCTCTTTGGATGCTTACCACTGTGGATTTGCCCAATTTCTGGTGAGTTTGGGTACACCTGTCTCTAGAAAAAAAAATCTATAAATAAAAACATTTATTCATATCAGTAGGGATGAACTAATTGGGAATTAGTCTGACTGTGCAACAGTGAGTGTTTATGTGTGTGTGACAGGCCCAGGCCACGGACGTACTGTCTGGCAGACAGCGATGAGGAGTCGTCTAGTGCCGGCTCTTCGGATGAAGAGGACACCCCCGAACTCCTCAGTGACAGAGCCATTTTTCCTGGAGCAGAGGGGTGAGCGAATGTCTCTTAGCAACAATAACATCATTATCTGAATTGAGAATGGGCTGCAACAGATTCACACTGATGTGTTGAAGCAGTCTGTTCTGCCCTTCCAGTCCGCCCACCCACCTACTCAGTGCCACACGTTTGAAAGCCTGCTGCTGATTTAATGTAGCACCCGGTCACTTCCTCCATCGTGGGTGCTGAGTAGAGAGAGATGCTGTTATGAATAAATAAAGAACCTGACTCACTCCTTGCCTCCCCTCCTCCTTCCATCCTCTGGTCACGTAGCTACGTGGGAGGCCACAGGCCCAGCAAGATTATGCGCTTTGTGGACAAGATAGCCAAGTCGAAGTACTTCCAGAAAGCCACAGAGACGGAGTTCATTAAGAAGAAGATGGAGGAGGTGTCAAACACGCCCCTGTTGCTAACTGTGGAGGTGCAGGAGTTTCGTGGGACGCTGGCTGTCAACATCCCACCACCCCCCACGGACAGGATATGGTATGTTCACTTCCAGGGACGAGTGCATTCAGTCAGTAGGATGATTCCAAGGGAATATTGGTTTCAGATTATAACTCTGCACCCTCTGCTGGGCAAACAAGGACATGCATACGATGAAAGAACAGAATGTTTAATCACCAGTAAATTAAATTCACTTAATGTTTAGAATTAAAATGAGGGCACAAAGCAGTGTGGGGAATGTTAAATCCTTAAGGACTTTCTTTGTTCTTTAAAAGCTTCATTAAAATGTGCATAATTTTCAGCCTAATTTGTGCCTGCTTTTATGTAGCCTTTAAGAACTTGGATTGCAATTCAGCTTGTTTTGGTTTAAACTATTAAAAAAACTAAATAATAATAATGTTCTTCTCTTGTCAGGTATGGCTTCCGGAGTCCGCCTCACCTAGAGCTTAAAGCACGGCCTAAACTGGGTGAGAGGGAGGTCACTTTAGTTCATGTGACAGACTGGATTGAGAAGAAACTAGACCAGGAATTCCAGGTATACACTGAGAAAAGATGCACATGCTTAGTTATGAATACAATTTGTTTAAAATGTTAGAAGGTTAAGTCATATCACGTGATGTTTGCCAACTCCTGTGTGGTTTAACAACCTCGGTTGCCTGACTGAGAGGCTTAAGGTTTACTGAAGAGCAAAGACAATGTCCCCCCAGATGTTTTAGGGTCAGTATTTGGGTAATAAAAGAGGACATTGGGATTCATTTACGGCTGCCCACCTACATGCACTTCAAAGCAGTCTGCCTGTGGCTTTCTCTCCCCTCGTATATCCAAAGTAATGATACGGCTGCCTCTAGATAACTGCCCTGTGGCACACCTGCAACTACTGTCCCTGTCAGGTCTACCACACATCTACATTTATCCCTGCCTGACTCCTCTGGGGGTTATTATTATGTACATGGCAGTAAAATACAGTGCAGAACTGCTCACTGTTGTCATGTGTGAGTATTTACATAAGGCGTTTCAACAATGGCCAAACTCAGTCCTTATTGGTTTCAATACATAACATTGCAGGGTTAGATACACGGGGTGGCTGTTAAGGTATTTTTTTCTTTCTATTTCATGTCAACAGAATTAATATCATGCCTGCGTCTTTATTTAGTTTATAACAAAAGTATTAATTTGTAGTTTCTGCTCCATCCATTCTCTACATGCTTTTTTTTGTTTGATTTTTAAGTTTTTAATGACTCCTTACTGTGCTTGCTCTCCCACAGAAAATATTTGTGATGCCAAACATGGACGATGTATGGCTACCCATAATGCACTCTGCCATGGACACACGTTCAAATGCCAACATGGTTACTGTGACAAATGAGGCCTTGAAGGACCAAGAACCTGAGGAGTCTGAGGTCTCCGAAGAGTGAAGACCGCTGTTTAAAGTGTGTGATGACTGACATGTTATCACCATGGCAATATGATGAGTCCCCGCCCCTCTCAGAGACCGACGGGTGCAGCAACGGGCCGGGCCAACTCCAATATTTTTAACCATGTTCCAGTCCCATTGTTGCACCACACATGAAGTGCGTCAAAAACTGTAAATGGGGGCTGAGTCGTAATCACCTGTGGTGACTACAAGCAGGGAAACGGAAGAGAGTTGTGACTCATAGATTGTCCTCCAATCAGTTTTATTCTTAATATGATTTATTTTCTGATGGAATTCAATACATGGGGCATGTCCAGACTGCTTTAACAAACGTGTGTGTTGGTGGATCAACATAATAGCCATCAGAAGAACCATAAGACCTGTGATGTACATCTGTACTAAACATGATAGTACAATACATTTTAGTGCAACCTTTCTAATCGAGCATTTTGTTGCTAAACCGTTACTCTTCAAAGCTTTGAAGCACCTGATGAAGACAGTATGAGTTTGAGGGAAACATCCTAAGATTTGGAGAAGATTTTTCTGGAAGTCCCTGTCTCAATTGATACATATTTCACAGGGACAACTCCTTGATCAACCATCCACACTGCTGCCTGTGCGGTCGCCCGGCACCTTTATGCAAACAGATCAACGGCACTGTGTCCATCGAAGACACTAGGTCAGTTTAAATCCACTATGGACACAATCACAACATACAGCTTGTGTGCTTTTAACCATGTGGTAGGGATTACAGTTAAAACTGACTTTAGAGGGGAACATTAAAAGTATCTGCAAACACAGCAGCTAAACATTGCCTAGGTCTGATGAATGTAAACACTTGAATGCAGCTCCTTAGCTGTTCAAGGAATAGCTCATTCACTGACAACGTGCTTCTACGCAACATGCTTCAAGACTTCTTTTCATGTTATATCCAGAGTTGAGCTAAAGTAATAATTTTGGTTTTATTGCCAAAGCAATTTTTCACTTCTGAGGTAAGCGTTGAGAAAATAAGCAATCGGTGTATTCGCTTGTGTCCCTATTGAGGCCACTGCAGTGATTTACTGCACACGTTTGGACAGGAGACGACAAAAACCCTTTTGTGAACAGAAACCCTGAGTTTTTTTAGGTAATAAAAGAGGGAGACAAACTCACTCTTACCGCTTTATTTGAATAAGTGACATGCTGGATATTAGCCATATTATTTAATGTTGTCAGAAGACATTCAGCTAATGAATGCTCTTAAATTATTTATTGATATGCTGGTTTTTTTGTACTGTTTTCAAAGACATACCATTTTACTGAACAGCAACGTTGTATTCTGCCAAGACGCTCAGCTGCTTTGCAGGCGACTATTATTTTACATGTTTTGTTTAAATGTGTGTTGGCAAAGTGTAAGAGGCAGAAAGTGCCTTTAAAATAAACATTCCTCCGTAGTCAGCCATCACATTTGTTGCATCAGTCGAGGATATAGAAAGTGTCTGTGCCATTACTGTGTCTGTCAAGACATGCCCTATGGTTTCACAAGTTTTGGTGTTGTTCTTTTGCACAGTGATGACAAAAATATCAAACATTACTGTTGTGTTCAGTGATGTCAAAGAATGTTACGGTTCTGATCGTTGTGGATCAATAAAACCTATTGCTTGGAAAGAGTTTGAGCAGCTTTGTGGTCCTAACATACAGTAACTTATTCTCATAATTGATTCAGCTGTGATATGCATGTCAACTTATCAATCATTAAAAAAAAAAAAAAAAAAAAAAAAAAAGTGTAAAATACTTAATTTAAATCACGATTCCATTTATGATTAACAGAACCAACTATTTTTCACATTTACTAAGCTGTTACGAGACTGTTAGGGATGTCTGCCAGAAAAAAAAAGCCAAATAATAAATCAAAATAGTAATTAACTTCTCTCTCCAGCTCTGTACATGGTTTCAATGGACAAAAGACTTTCCAATGATAACAAAAAGCATGTATAGTAGTAGTTACATTACCGTAAGGAAAAGGCAACAAGGACCCTCAACAGCATCACATTCTATTGTAAACTTCTTCAGTGTCTCATTGGACATTTTATATTAATTGGACAAAACAAATATAGCTTTATCATTTAGATTCTGTGTCTTGCTTAAAAGGAGAGACTTGGGAAAATTGCCAAGTAACCCCAGTTATAACAAGACTTGATTTACTCTCGCACTTCTCTTATCCTTAGTGAATGGCTAAGGAAAAAGCCATTCAGGTGTTAAGGAAAGTGCGCATGGTGAATTTAAAGAAGAAAAATAAAATACTGTTTTTTTACAATTGCTTTATTCACAAGACATATTTCTACAGTTAAGCAGTATGCATTTTCTAATGGCTCAGGAATGAACGCATTAGAAACCCACAAACATGTTGATTTACGAGTCCTGGTGTCACCTTGTAATTTACAGCATCTTGTCCATTTGTTGATCGTCAATCAGATTGCTGCAAAAGAAAACAACTTTGAGTAAGCTCAGTTATTTAAACACCATCCATTTGAAGATTGTATGTTGGTCATGTCAGATGTAGATTGTCTTCATATTAAATCAGAAGTCTAACGCATCATGATCATCATACATAACCATTAAATGCCACATTGTGATCACATAAGATACTCACCATGTTGCTCATGCAGGGATCCAGCCACACCAAAATCCATTTCCTGTAAATATAAAATGTCTGAGTGAACCTGATTGAGACCCACACACCAGGATATTTATTTGTGGGGTCGAGTCAGAAAAGTATATGATGACTTCATTTTCATATCAGAAGTCTAACGCACTTAAATCATCATTCATGATCTAAAACAAGAGATTTTAAACAGTTAAAGAAAAACTCACCATTATACAGTCCTGTTAGGCCTTAGCCGGTCTCCATTCAGTCCACGTGGGGATATGCAAGCACTTCGAAAACCTGCCACAAACCTTTACGAGCGGCCCTGTGGACAGCACAACATACTTAGTGTAAGAAGAAATCAATTAGCATTTGCCATTCACATGTTGTAAAAAATGAACATACTTCGTCAAACTCTCATTGGACATTTCATATTAACTGGACACAACCAATATAGCTTTTATCATTTAGATTCTGTGTCTTGCGTAAAAAGAGAGACTTGGGAAAATTGCCAAGTAACCCCAGTTATAACAAGACATTTACTCTCGCACTTCTCTCATCCTTTGTGAATGAGCTAAGGAAAAAGCCATTCAGGTGATAAGAAAAGTGCGTACGGTGAATTTACAGAAGCAGCAAACAATACCGTTATTTTTTTTTTTTTTTACAAGACATATATTTCTACAGTTAAGCAATATCCATTTTCTAATGGCTCAGGAATGCAAAGAAACCCACAAGCATGTTGATTTATGAGTCCTGGTTTCACCTTGTAATTGACAGTAACTTGTCCATTTGTAGATCAATCAGATTCCTGCAGAAGAAAACAACTTTGAGTGAGCGCAGTTATTTGAACACCATCCATTTTAAGATTGTATATGGGTCATGTCAGATGTAAATTGTCTTCATCTTAAATCAGATCTCAACCATATTATGATCATCATACATAACCATGAAATGCCACATGGTGATATGATAAGATACTCACCATGTTGCTCATGCAGGGATCCAGCCACACCAAAATCCATTTCCTGTAAATATAAAATGTCTGAGTGAACCTGAATGAGACACACACACACCAGGATATTTATTTGTGGGGTCTAGTCAGAAAAGTATATGATGACTTCATTTTCATATCAGAAGTCTAACGCACTTAAATCATCATTCACGATATAAAACAAGAGATTTAAACAGTTAAAGAAAAACTCACCGTGATACAGTCCCGTTAGGCCTTAACCGGTCTCCATTCAGTCCACGTGGGGATATGCAAGCACTTCGAAAACCTGCCACGAACCTTTACGAGCGGCCCTGTGGACAGCACAACATATTTAGTGTAAGAAGAAATCAATTAGCATTTGCCATTCACATGTTATTGGACACAACCAATATAGCTTTTATCATTTAGATTGTGTCTTGCGTAAAAAGAGAGACTTGGGAAAATTGCCAAGTAACCCCAGTTATAACAAGACATTTACTCTCGCACTTCTCTTATCCTTTGTGAATGGTTAAGGAAAAAGCCATTCAGGTGTTAAGAAAAGTGCGTACGGTGAATTTACAGAAGCAGCAAACAATACCGTTTGTTTTGTTTTTTACAAGTGGTTTATTCACAAGACATATTTCCACAGTTAAGCAATATGCATTTTCTAATGGCTCAGGAATGCAAAGAAACCCACAAGCATGTAGATTTATGAGTCCTGGTTTCACCTTGTAATTGACAGTAACTTGTCCATTTGTAGATCAGTCAGATTCCTACAGAAGAAAACAACTTTGAGTGAGCGGTTATTTGAACACCATCCATTTTAAGATTGTATATGGGTCATGTCAGATGTTAATTGTCTTCATATTAAATCAGATCTCAACCATATTATGATCATCATACATAACCATTAAATGCCACATTGTGATCACATAAGATACTCACCATGTTGCTCATGCAGGGATCCAGCCACACCAAAATCCATTTCCTGTAAATATAAAATGTCTGAGTGAACCTGATTGAGACCCCCACACACACCAGGATATTTATTTGTGGGGTCGAGTCAGAAAAGTATATGATGACTTCATTTTCATATCAGAAGTCTAACGCACTTAAATCATCATTCACGATCTAAAACAAGAGATTTTAAGCATGTAGATGTATGAGTCCTGGTTTCACCTTGTAATTGACAGTAACTTGTCCATTTGTAGATCAGTCAGATTCCTGCAGAAGAAAACAACTTTGAGTGAGCAGTTATTTGAACACCATCCATTTTAAGATTGTATATGGGTCATGTCAGATGTAAATTGTCTTCATATTAAAATCAGATCTCAACCATATTATGATCATCATACATAACCATTAAATACCACATTATGATCACATAAGATACTCACCATGTTGCTCATGCAGGGATCCAGCCACACCAACATCCATTTCCTGTAAATATAAAATGTCTGAGTGAACCTGATTGAGACCCACACACAAGGATATTTATTTGTGGGGTCGAGTCAGAAAAGTATATGACTTCATTTTCACATCAGAAGTCTAACGCACTTAAATCATCATTCACGATCTAAAACAAGAGATTTTAAGCATGTTGATGTATGAGTCCTGGTTTCACCTTGTAATTGACAGTAACTTTTCTATTTGTAGATCAGTCAGATTCCTGCAGAAGAAAACAACTTTGAGTGAGCAGTTATTTGAACACCATCCATTTTAAGAATGTATATGGGTCATGTCAGAAGTAAATCGTCTTCATATTAAAATCAGATCTCAACCATATTATGATCATCATACATAACCATTAAATGCCACATTGTGATCACATAAGATACTCACCATGTTGCTCATGCAGGGATCCAGCCACACCAACATCCATTTCCTGTAAATATAAAATGTCTGAGTGAACCTGTTTGAGACACACACCAGGATATATATTTGTGGGATCGAGTCAGCAAGTATATGATGACTTCATTTTCATATCAGAAGTCTAACGCACTTAAATCATCATTCACGATCAAAAACAAGAGATTTCAAATGTTTAAAAAAAAACCTCACCGTCTCATTAGGCCTTAGCCCGTCTCCATTCGGTCCACGTGGGGATATGCAAGCACTTCGAAAACCTGCTATGAAACCTTACGGCCGGCACTGTGGACAGCAAAACATACTGTGTGTAAGAAGAAATCAACTATTAGGATTTTCCATTCACGTTATAAAAAAATTAAACTTACTTCGACATGTCCAGGCAGACGCGGCCTAGTCACGCAGTTCCAACATGCACCATGATGCATTAGAAAAAGAAAACTATTTGTATGCACATTTACGTCAGGTATCGTAATACTGTATCGAAAATGTGCATGCAAATAAGCGTTTTCTAACCATGTTAAATGCAAAACGTTCAAGACTGGCTGGTTTGACCACAGAAAGCATGCTCTCAAGGGGTGGGCTCGTGGACTTCTGCAGAAAATGTCCACCCGGATCTACTTTATAACACATCCGGTGTCTGTAGCTCCTTTCTCATTGGCTTACACCAACTCTAACATTTCCCCTCCTCCACTCGTGTGGATATCTATCCCAAAGTCCAACCCCCACGCTTTTCATTTCAGGAAGAAGCGGATCCAACGTTGTATTCGCCGCTGCTGGCCCAGTGCCTTTAACGTTGATTTAAAAATAATAGCATCTGGTTGTAAGACAAAACACATGTTCTATGTAGTCAACGGCCCTCCGGACCAGCTGTCTATCCCGGTCTGAGACCAGAAAACATGGACTGGACAGTGAGCAGTCGGGCCCTGTTGTGGTGCTTTTTGTCGTTGCTTTGCTGCGCTGGGATCCCACAAAAGGTAAGAGGGGCTAACTGCATAAGCTAGCTTAAGTTAGAAGATATTATCTCGGAGTTACCCGCATAACTATTCGTTTCACCCAACTTTAGGCTTGTTTTTCTGCTTTTAGTGCAACTAATATTGAAGTACAAACTTGAATAAGTGTCATTCAGTGAACCTTTTCACTCTGTCTGTGTGCTGCGTGTTGTATTCACATGATAGAATTAAGCTAACGTTAGCTTTATGGCTAAAAGCACAACTTTTTAAGTAATACCATCTTTGGAAACCCTATAATTAACATTGCTCACATTTCTTTATAACATTTTTAATTCATTATACCAGGGTTCTCAGATAAAGCAAACCGTAGGAGCATGAAAATAACATATCCATCCTCTTAAAAAAGATCTCTCTGTTATTCAATATGACAATTTGCTGTCTATATGTTGTAGGTTTGTGGTTGTTAGACTGTCTCGAAACTACTTAATTTGTTCTTGTCATCAACCTCCCCAAAGTATTTCAGAATCATATTGGCAAGCTTAAGAAATGCCCGTTCATTTATATCACTGCTGAAACATAGAGCTTATACTGTACTGTTGTTAAGGCTTGATGATATGTTAATGTTCCCACAGCTTGCATGATAACAACACACCTCCTTATCTTTGTCACAAGGCTGAACTCGTCCTTTGTTTGCACATGAGTTGCTACTTCAAAATGTGTTGCTTATTGTTTGAGTCATTAATTAACATTGACAATGAAAAGGTGGCAAACCAGGTAGTGCAAGTCAAACGTGTCAAGCAAAGCATGGCATTGTTGTGCATCCAGAAAATGTACAAAACAACCACACAAACATCAATGCCTTTGTTCACATCACATGCAATGCATTGTACTAAATGTGGCTGAAACTGAGCCAGATTCCTAGAAGGTCTCCATGCAGGGACATTAGCTAAAATGCTAGTAAACCAATTCAGATAAGAAGAAGATTAAAGTAGCCTTATAATCCCCTATCATGTCTCAGGTTCTTCTTAGCCTTGTTGACAGTCTGCTTCTGTAGTAATGCTGACAAATGACAAAGGCTATCTATACATGGTGCCATTTGTGAGTGTGTCTAGGAGAGAAAGAGAGAGACACATAGAGAAAAGACTCATCTTACTGCATCATCTTCGCAATTGAGGTATTAATACATATTTTGCAAGGAGGATATGATAGTGACTAAAATCTAGCTTGCAGTCTCAGATGATATGTTTGTTTTAAGAAACGTATTCTCACATTAGGCCCACGCCCCACTTTACACATCCGCTGGCCCACAACAACTCTAATATTATTTTACTACTTTATACCAGCCAACCTTAGTCATGCTGTTTATGCGAGTCAAAGTTGTGATCCTACACTATCTTATCAGAACAGTAGATTGGCTAGGCTCTGAATGAGTGTGCCTGAGCGAGTGTGCCTGAACGAGGGCCAACACGTGACATCCTCTCCACTTGAGCAACTCCATGCAGAGAGCAGCTTACACACGTTGTTGACAAGATATGCTGCTTGAAAATAATGTTCTTCTTCATCAAAATGTGGATATGTGAACCACATTGCTTTTTAAACAATAATGTTCCTATGACATTTGAGCTCACCTTTCCTACTGTAGTATAATTAAACTCTCATAGGTGCCTGAGACTGAATACAATCAAACAACCCCAAGCCTGTGTCATCTTCATGCAGCCCTAAAGGGAGATCTCTAATGACTACTTGAGTATGTTGGACTTAAGTGACTTTCAAAACTAATCTTTATGACCTGTTGCTTCACTACAGCTACCCTGACAAGTAGGTGTGAGATAAGTATTTCTTGGTTCCTGTGTTGTTGTTGCGCCGAAGCAAGCTGCAAATGTACTGCTTATTACTGTGACGTGTCAGTTGTAAGAGAGTGTTCCACTTCTCAACGAAACAACTGTGACATTTAGCGCAAGCCCAATTAATACATATGTTGTCAGACTCGCCCTATCATTTTCTTGCTAATGCTGTTTTTACAATTTACGACTTCCTTTAAAGCTATGATTCATTTTATTGTGTGTACTCATACATGTGCCTCTCTTCCACACATGCAACTCTAAATAAGTCCGTAAAAGCCTGGAAAATCAGTTTCACACAGCTCCAGTGCATCAGTGTTTCAGATGACACCACCGATGAATCTGCCTGTATGCAATTTAGCCACACACGTGTTTATTTTGTTGTCCCACTATAAATGTAATTTTTCTGTTGTTTTCGGCACTCGCACACCTTTTATAAGCAGCTGTGCAACAGAAAGCACCTGCTTGAAGTTACCTTCCCACATGCTTGTCAACCATCATAACCTGTTGATGCACCGTGCAGGGCAGCCATGTCACAGTGACACTGGATACTGGGCTTTTGTTTGCTTTCAGATTTTATGATCAGTTTTTCCGAGGATTGTACAGCCGCTTCATTTCGAAGGATGAATACAAGAAACAGATTGGCGCATGACTGGCCCTTTACCTTCCTCTCCTCCATGAGTCATCATCCCCTCCCCTGTTTCTCTTACACGTGTCACTCAGCTTTTGTGTCCTATAAAGAGGCATTTTGTCTATCTGGCTCTTAGTTTGTACACAAACAATTATTTCTTCCGAGACTAGGGATTTATTTTGCAGTCTCTACTCGGGTGCTCTTACTATCGGTTTGTGATGTAATAATAATTCACTATCTTGAAGATATGAGAGTATCTGACAAAGGGGTAATAAGGCAGGTGTACTCCTAAAGCGCTTGTTTACACTCACTGGGAAAGCTGCCAGTTCCAGCCTGTCCTGTATTCAGGTTGGTTTGCCATACAAGAGGATGTGAAGCACACTGACACTCCAGCCGGCTACCAGTGACTTCATGAGCATTGTACTCAGTGTCCCTTAAGGTATGCCTGGCCGCATTGTACAGGAGAAAGTGAAGACCTCAGAACCTGCCAAGACTTTGGTTTTGCCCAGTTCTGTAGTGTTATGTAACTCGCTTACACAACAATTTCAACATTTCTGTGTTAACTCAGAATGAGGAAACGAGAGGGAGAACCATGATGTTTGAGTATTCTAATATAGCTTTCCCACTCACCACTGATGATGTTTTACCAAAGCAGTCGCTGTGAGCGGCTAGACATTTCAAACGACATGTTCCCTGAGGCAACACTGTATATTCAACAGTTGAATATCAGTGTCCGTCCAAAACTAACAGGCCAACAGATGTTAGGAGAGTTATTTGCTTGCGAAACCAAAAACCCTGATGGAGGTAACGGGGGGGGGCCCAAAAACAAGTTAGTTATGATTCTCCCAGTACACGTGTGTAATGCTTGTGAGTTTGCAACCCAGTGGGAACACTCACAGGTGTACAATATTGACACGAAAGTTGTTATAGGATGTGAGACTAAAGAAGGGGACTGGTAGGCAAATGTGGAAGGACCCAGTTTCCTTCTGAAGAGTGAAACGTTCAGTTTATAGAATAGTTGCCTCTGTCTCTGTTATAACAGGAGTCATTTTCCCATTTTAAGTTTTAACCTGAAGAACACACAGGGAGAAAGTCATTTTCGTGAACTGGTTATTTTTTATGATCTTGGTTTTCTAAGGAAAGAAAGCTCTGGGACAAAGGGGAACACCCTGAGTGACACAGTGAGGGTAGTGGTTGTTTTTGCTCTCCTTACCACATGCGCAGGCCTGAATTACTAGCTCTGGTGGTTTGTTTGTGTCTGACTTGGGAGCACTTTAACCCCCGCGGTCCTTATCTCTACAATAGTGGGGAAATAATCAGAAGAGCGTGATAGTAACTGTAGGATGATAATCTGCCTTATAATGTATGCATGTGGGGGCTATTTGCACTGCCCCCAGGGAGCTGTAAATGGGATTAGTCAGAGAAGTTGATCAATACCGCTGTGGGTCAGCAGGAAACTGAGGTCTGTCTGCTCGGTTTTCCAAGACTCCTGTGGTAAGGATGGCAGATTTAGTGGCATTCCCAGATTGTTTTTATTCCCAGCCTGACCCTGAGAGTGAGCCACTGAAAAGTGCTAATGCGCTGTGCCTGATTTATGAGTCAGGAATCAGTCAAAAACATTTGGCATGTCAATGATTGCATGATATGTGAAACTTTTTTGTCAGTAATTGAAGTACACAAAATGGTTACATTTTCTGGAGTAGAGAAAACTCTTGTGTACCAGTTGCATATCATCTTGAAAAAACATCTTAAATGAAAGTAGAGAGAGAGTGGACATGCTCACTTGGTACTGCACTTTTGGGGTTGTCTGGCATTCAGAGCTCTCCAACACACCCACTGGACATCTTCCTGCACATTGGTGCCAAAAACCATAAGAAGCCCACGGCTTGGTTATCAAGAGTGGCGTTTTTAGAATTCCATAGTGGGGTGAGCGCAGCACACATCCCCCACAGAGCTGTTCATTCAGGCATAAGCCAAGTCATGAGGCCGGGTCGTTTAGCTGTCGTTGTGGTTATGGCTTGAACTGATTTCCCTGGACTTGCTGCATCTTTGTATGTATTGCGTTTTGTCAGCTGTCATGAAATGAATCAAAGTCTTCTGATGTCTGAGTGGGAGGGAAAAGTTCTGGAAATAAAGGATCCCAGATGCCCTGTCAGCCCACTAATC